ATCTGAAGTAACACTTTCGTGGCTGCACCTATTTACCGGAAATACACCGTCGTCGCCCTCAAGCCATATTGGAGGATCTTCGTAATTGATGTTATCAGTGGCCTCACCTCCACAGGTCGCTTGCTTCAGTTTTCCGGGAGTGGACTTGGAGAGCGATGACCAGGCTGCCTTGAAGGTGCACGTGGGCTGGATTACCGGAGGCGCATAGGCGATGGTGACCGTGACCGACGTTGGCGTAGAGGTGGCGAGTTCTGGCGCGTGGACAAGTACTCCTCAATCTCCGCTGGTCGTTCGCCGTTTCGGGGGCACGGTGCATACGACGGGAAGCCTCTTAATCCAGCCTGTCAGTAAGGGCAGAATCTGTACAAATGACCCGCTTCGCCACAATGGAAACAAAGAGGCCTGCGCTCGTGATCACACCAGACGTCACTTTTCCTGAGCCTAGGCTCCACATAGCGATGCGTGCTACGTGCGGCTGGGGGCAGATAGGTAGCCATTGGTTCCCGTGGACGAGGTCCGCTGCGTGCTGTAGATGGGAGATGAGTCGCCGCCATCGCAACTGCTGCATTATTGTGTACTGTGGGTTGTCGGAGAACTTCAGAGTACGTTCGGATAGGTCGAACTGGCTGCAGCTCACGCTCTGGTTCTCGTATGACCTGCCTCAGTTCGTCACGAACAACGTCTGTAACAGAGAGTGCAGTTGGAGTCTGGGGCATTTGCAGTCTGCTCAGTTCTTCCCTGATAACTGATCTAATGAGCTCTCGCAGGACTCCAACGTCGTTTCGCACGCCTCCAGAGAATACCTGTGCAGATGCGCAGTTAAGATTCCGGTTGTACTGCCGAGCACGCTGTTCTAGTGTTTTTTCGATGGCTGTCGCTTCCGAGTAAAACTCAGCAACTGCGCTTGGAGGGTTGCAGACGAGAACGGCGAACAGCTCTTGCTTCACTCCGCGCATTAGATGGCGCACCTTCTTATCCTCAGCCATGTTGTAATCCGCACGCTTGAACAGACGGACCATGTCGTCAATGTACATGGCAGCACTCTCGTTCGTGAGCTGGTTCCTGGATTGAAGAGCAGCTCACGAACGTTTTTTTTGGTCTATGTTCGCGAACGTAGCCGCCGCTTGTCGTCGAAATACCTCCAAGGTAGACAACAAGGTTTCATGGTTCTCAAACCATGTCTTTGCGAAGTCTTCCAGGGCGAAGTATACGCGACGGAGCTTCTCTTTTTTGTCCCATCCATTCAAGCTCGCCACTCTCTCGAACAGGTCCAGCCAGTCTTCAACATCTTCGTACGAGTCGCCGTGGAATACTGGCGGCTGGTGCGGTTGGCTAATGAACACTTGTGCCGGTGTTACCTGGGTAGTAATAGTGGTGGCATCCATAGTTTGAATTCCCCTTGGTGTGAAGTGAAGAGGACCGAACTCAGGTGAGTCACCTCGAAGACGGCGACTTGCCCTCTGATGTACAGGAGTCACTTCCACGGGGTTGATACGCTGGTCGTCGGGGTACGCTGTCTTGAGCTCGCGGGGCTTCGATTCATACCCAGCAATTCCACCAGAATGATAGAGCGGATGATATAGCGGATGAATGTACGCAGCTCTGTTGTGTCATGGCTTGAGCTGAGATCAGGCATATCAGGTTGCACCCGAGTGGTTTGAAGCTACTCGAGGTGCTGACAGGTAGCTACAACATCGGCTACGGTCTGGGGATTCTGCATAATTAAAGCGACAGTCGCAATGCCTTTTAGCAGGAGGCGTATACGGTCGTTTTCCACCATATGGTTGTCGATGCGGCGGCAAAGGGCGAGAACATCTTCAATGTAAGAAGTGTAAGACTCGGCGGGGTGTTGAACACGTGAACCAAGCCTTTTCTTGGCGATATCCTAGCGCACTGACGGGTTGGGGAAAATCTGGTGGAGTTGGCGCGTAAAGGCGGGCCATGTAAAAAAACCTGTAGCGTAGTTTGAAAACCACGTTTTTTCGGCGCCGCTCAAGTAGAATGCAACGTGGGTGAGTTTCGCAGGCTCATCCCAGTTGTTGATGGCACTCACGCGGTTGTACTCCTCGAGCCAGTCTTCGACGTCCTCACCCGGAAGCCCTGCGAACAGCGGAGGATCCTTTTGAGGGCTGGTGACCAGGTGAGAAGGGTTTCTTGGCGGTGGGAGCGGTGGCGCAGCTGCTGCACTGGGCTGGTCGGCTTGCGACATTACCGAACCCGGGTCGTTTAAGCGGCGGCCTCAACGGAGCTCCAGGGATGTGTTCTATAAAACGCTTGGGTTGTCCGAGAGCGCGAGAGGACGCAGGATTTGGGCAGCACTCTCCACCATTTGTAAGATGGCGTCCAGTACTCTCAAGACTCTTCTTTATTGTCTCGAGTATGTGCCCCACAACCTAAACTGTAGTGGTGATGATGAGTATATACAGATGAAAAGATGGAACGAATAATGATGCTCGCGATATATATATATAATCTGACAGACAATAATGCGAATATTGTGTAGGGGAGGTTATGACACGAATTTTAAAATAAATGTGAAGAAAGGAAAGTGGGTGAAAACAAAACTTGCCTTGGGCAGGTTCCTGCCCATGGCAAGTTGTCTTCTATCTTCATCTTTATCTCTATACGCTGCACAAGGCACGCTGGCGCTGCACACTGGGACCCCTGTTATCGGCCAAAATTTGGCTTTTCAATTGTTTATAAAAATGTAGGTCATGCGCACATCACAAAACAAAGCTCTAACAAGCGCGCAGAGAAAAAATAAAAAAATAAAAAAAACCCATTGAGCCGGAGTCAAGACCACTACCCCTACTCATCGCACATCCCGAGCCTGGCACGCTACCCACTACACCATACCTGAAAGTCGTGGATAAGTGTATGTTTTTTCATCTCAAAAGTAATTCAGGTATTGAATATTTCGATTTTGTTGCTGACATACGCAGAGTCTCGTCTATTCTTGCTCGCGGCAAACTAACTGGTGATCGTTAGCCTATTTTTTGCGGGTCGCCTTGGATCACATCCATCTGGCACGTTTTACGGCAAAGCTTGTTAGCGTAGCTGCAGATGTGTTACGGCAATCGTAGTGACTCGTTATGCGGTTAGTCATACCTATGTAGAACGTGGCGTTCATAGTAACTGCTCACTGAACAATATAGGTTTCGTCCCTGGATAGCTTGGAACTATTTTCTGTCCTCTTTGTTTACGTTCCGCGTACGACAGCCACAGCAGATCACTCTAGCCGAAACGACCATTAGGCTTCGGCTGTACTTCTTGTGCCACGGTTGCTGTGATGAACCGTTGATAATCAGTCAGAAAGAGCCTAGTAACTGTTAAACTATAGTTTAGATTATAACTAGCCCATCAATAGTCATATTATCACCATCTACTACAAAAACCAGAAGCTAAAAACACCAACATTGGGCATTTCAGCAGATGGCTGCTACCAGGGACGTGCGGATTTTATGGTACGAGCCATTGGATTTTATGGAACGACTCATTGCTAGAGTAGGTTGGTCTTGAATATCAGACTGATATTACTGTCATAATGTGTTGCAAATTATCAGTTCTATCGATGCCGTTTATGAAATACATTGACGGAACTCCATCAAACGTCAAGAAAAGCGCTCCCGCGCCGGTGGGGAGGGGGGACATCTATGGGTGCGCTGAAGCCTTTTTTTTCGTCAAACTTTCGCATGCCCCATTTGCCCCCCTCCCCTAAGAGCAAGTGTAGTTAAAACACGACGCATAAGTTCTGTGCCTCCCTGCCCCCTTGCAGGAACACAATTGCCGTTGGTCTCTCCAGCAAAATCCTCGCGGTGTCCCTGACACATGCGCTCGACATAATAAGGCTTTAGCTTACGCGCATCCAGTGCTTAACTAAAACTGAAGCTTTATATGTGTAGCACGTAGATGAGAAAACCAACATATTCGTTAAATTTTACGCTCGACATCTCGCGATTCCGTATGAAGGCTTACAGAAAGTGCGCCGATCGTGCCTAGTTTCTTCCAATGTGCCGCTGATGTTATCACTGTGCGGTAGAGACTATACAGTGTAACCAGTGCCTCCTAGCGCACTGGGTACTGGAAACGCTGTTTTTTTGCAATAGAATATATAAATATATATATATATATATATATATATATATATATATATATATATATATATATATATATATATATATATATATATATATATATATATATATATATATATATATATATATATATATATAGATAGATAGATAGATAGATAGATAGATAGATAGATATATATATATATATATATATATATATATATATGCGTGTGTGTGAGTGTCTGTACGTGCTTTTCTAATATTGGAGCTTATATTGTTTTGAGTGCAACGTGCATGCGCTTCTTTTAACTTTCGCAAGTGTTAGTGTTACTGCGGGTACAATGATGAAATTTCCGCTAATTACAGTTAGATGTGCAACCATGCTTAGGTGTTGCGCCTCAAATTGCACTATAAAACGTCATAACTAGTTCTTTTTTTATTCTCGAGAAACTTGTACAATAAAGTCGGATTGTATGTGCATCTTTGTTTTTTACACCGTCCATGTTCTCGAAATTGCTAACGCGATCAGGCTATGTCTGTGCCGGGAAGCAGTTAATTATGCGATACAACAGCGCTCACAGCGAAGTTAGGTGTGCCAGTTGTACACACAATTATCAAATGTCCCAAAAAAACGCAAACGTTTCGGACGCTAGAAAACATGACATGCCTTGAAAATGATAAACTTTGGGCCACTTTACTACATTGTGCTCACGTCTCTTCTCATGTTTAAATGAGCCAGAGTCAAGTGGCATTCGCTATGTTGTAGGCTTTTGAGGCACCATTAGCGTAGGCATAACAGCTTGCCTACATCTATCTTCGTTGAAGGTGAATGATGCCGTTAAGCTCATTTTGTATAAAGGCAGCGCGAAACTTTTCTCGCTGCATCTACTGAAGTATGCACAAAAAGCTTCAATGCATTCTACTCACTTGATTGCGTTCACCCGTACACCGTACGACGCATTCTCTGAAAGTAAAGACAAGCCAGATTAAGAAAATTTTCCTGTCTAATGAAAAGAATGCATTTATTTACCTAGAATAAAAGACCTTGTTGTTGGCTCGTACGCAGTAATTATGAATTAACAAGCTATGATAAACATGTATGAACATTGGAATACACCAGCATAACAGCACTCTTCCGAATTTCCACAGTGTCTGCTTTTGAAAGAAAAGATGTATATAGTAGCTTCTGCCCACATTCTGAGCAGAAGTATTCAGACATGATGCACATGTTTTGGGCATGCAAGTCAACTCTCAACCTCTCCCCAGCACCAAACGTGGCCCAGAGGAACAGAGATTCTGCCGTGCTCGGCTGTTTCGACGCAGCCAAGCAGAAGGCTCTGTTTTACCAAGCCCGATTCACGGCGGTTTTTTACGTTCTCCTGGGGCCTCAGAATACTGCCATGTGGGCCGCAGCAGGCCTACCCCTGTACTAGACGATTTTGAGGCCACCGTTGATAAGATAACGTGCGTCATGCGCAAGGCACCACAGAGATGTTTGATGGTATGCCTCTCGATTCACTGAACGTCGCCACTCTGATAAGCAAACACATGTTCTTTCAGGAAACGCGTGCGAAATTAAAAAAATGATTACTTTAACCTGCCTTCATGATTAGTCTCTCTGTGGTGGCAGATGTCTCAAGCTCAGTCGAGACATTACTTAGGAGAGAAACAAAAGAAAATGAGGTATTTACCCTAGGTATAACTCAAGAAATATGGTCGTGCCAAATAGAAAAGTAGTGGTTCTGGCTAAGAGCTTGTTGTCGCTCTCCAACTTCGCAAAAGTAGCTGTTAGCAATTATTAGCGAATTCTGCCAATTTAACCGCCAATGGCTAAACCAAAACTTACAAGAGCACAAGTGACACACTCTACCGAGGTCTGCAGAATGAGCGAGCGTTGCTGTACCAATCATCGCTGGACTTGAATCGTGACTGTGGGGGTTTAGTTTGCGATTAGATCATGCTTTGCACGTGCGCGTTCAGGAATGCAGAACTAAGCCTACCGCGATTGTCACCGTGAAGAATAACATCATGCTTGTGGTCTCTTCCTTGCACTCATTAGAGCTGTGGTTACAGCTTCGCCGGTGATCTTATATAAAATTTTACATATTGCACAATATTCACTAGAGAGCAATCTCTCCAACTCCTATTGCGACCATGATCATTGCGTAAAAGGAAAATAAATCTTCCTGGTGATCCGACCGCCTACTTGCGCTAGTTAAACATGTTCATTTGATATTATAGGTTTTATATTCGATGTGCCTCCCACCACCGAATATATTTTACGAAGACAGTGAGCGAATATTGCATTTCCTCTAATTTTCATATTTTTCGCACACATTTCTTTAAACGCGCAATGTGAATTGACCAGAGCAGTAATCACTATTCAAGACTCACAATAGGCACAGCTTCACTGCGTTCAGTCTTTAATGCAATGGAAATGATTTCCGATTTCTTATGAGATAAAAAGCTATGATGAAAATGACTTTTGAAAAATGCCCAACTACATTGTGTATTCATTTTTTGCATAAAACTGCGAGAAAAATTTGGACAACAAAGCAAGAAAACATACTTGAAGAATTAATGGAGTCTTGTGGTCGGCATCTTTTATCTGCGCTCTGTAGAAGTTAAGCGCCTACATAGTGATAATTTGACATTACTATATACATGGCTGATACATTGCTAAAGCCTCAATGAATGTTCATTGAAAGTATTCCCACCTAAGGATCTCTGGAACGACCACGAAGTATATAAGACTAGACATAGAATTCACAAGTGAGGCGAATTTGCGATGAGGACAGAACTATGGCACAGGAGTGGTTCAAGAGTTTCATTGCTGCGATACATGGTGGCAACAGAAATGTTTTTCGCAAATCCATAACAATGATAGATTTACACAACTGAAGATCGAAGTAAAAGAGAGAGCAAATAAGCATTCATTGAAATTTTGTTGCGAAGCACAACATAAATGATAATTTTTCTTGCAAAACATCGTCTATCAAGTTTGATGTTGCTATGTTTTTCATGATGAACCAGTAAAGCTTTTTTATACAAAACGCTATGTCTACAGCATTTTCTTCCCGCAAGACAGAACAAAAATAAACGTGATATGATTTGATAGTTTTCTTTTGATAATGATGGAGGGTGCCCCTCTTTCAGGGTGCGGCATGCTACGATTGTGTGAGACGGAAAAACACATGAGCCAATTAGGCAGTTGAATTGTTGAATTATCACCAAAATTGAAATGCCCGTACTCGATTCAGTGGTATTGAATGACGATGTGTGTCAACTATAAGGAAATGGCGACCATATACAGAAAGACGACTGCCAAAATTGATTTTCTGGGTTGACATTCTTTGCGAGCCTTCATGAGGCACTTCGCCACGCAATACATACGGTCCTGCTTTATATCACGCCAGGGACAAAACAATCATGCGAAGTAGTAGTACTACTAGTAGTAGAAGTAATCTCTTTAGAACCAGTCATAAAAATTTATTTGGGGGAATAGATACTTGATAAATAAATGTGGCTTCTGCACTGTTTTAGGGGCGAAGTTTCTTAGGGCCAAGCCATCGGCCTCCGTTGTCGTGACATGCTTTAGATGCCCACATGCATTTTGATATTCATATGAACACCCACATGAATACGTAGACATTCATATACATATGCTTATCCATATAAATATTCATATGGATGTCCATACTGGTATCCGTAACCATGTGGGTATCCATGTGAATAATTTAACAGACATCTCATCCCTATTTGCGCATTGCGATTCTTATACAACTTTGTATATATTGTCACACGTGTTTTCCCGTCTTAGCATGATGGAGTGGGCAATGTACTGTGGTGAATAATTCTCCAGAGCTTCGCCCACTCGTTATCATTCCCTTCGTGGATATTCTGTAATTTTTTTTCTGTTTCTTCGTGTCGCTGCGTTTCGCACTATATAAAGCCCTGATTTGTAGTACACCAAGTAGGAGAAAAATGGTTACGCCTGCGTGGAATGCACATCACAGTCACAGCGTATAATGAAAGAGCGGCCTTTCAGAACCTTTTTAACCACTCTTTGTGTAATTGCTACAAACCCACTTGTAGGGTACCCATTACTCCATAGAACATCAGAAGTTTTCGTTAAAGGAATGCTTTCACTATGTTATCTTTTATAATCTTCAGAGAAACGTGATAGCCGCTACACACTTAAAAGGAATATTTTGCATTTTTTATACTGGGGCTGAACATGTTGAAGAAATATGCCTAAAGCTTTTGTAAAGGGTTGGACGCATTACAACCTATTCATAACGCAGTACACACTGTGTGACGTCTGGTCGTTCCTTTGCTGCTCTAATAGGTTTTTTTTTACTGAGAATAACGCGATTCGCTGACATAACGCTGACATCAAGCCTGCCTAAAGCCAATCTGTCACACAGGTTCAAGCACCGGCAATCACCTGTTGGTCTGGCATACAGGTGACCCGGGTTCAAATACCATTGTGTCTCTGGTGTTTTTAATTTACTTAGACTTTTTTATATTTTAAGCGATACTGGTTACAGACACCGGTGGTCGGGGCGGAAAACTACGGCACATGCGACCCTTGTTGTGATCTTATACCAGCTTCCACTTTAAATAGTTCATATTAACAGTACTAACCTCTTACTGAGTATCAGTGGGACCCAGGGTCTCTCTGATAACGACTTCTCGACGAATGAGATAGAGATTAGACGCTTGCACATTTATGTCTTAGCTGACAGCAGTAGTCAGCACACAACACAATGAAAGTAAAAAGAACAGCCGACGAAGCCTTAATACTTGAACAAGTTATTTCTAAAAATTATAAGTTTCATGGTGCGTCCTTTCAGCAATAAAAGACTTATTAGCCAGAGATGCGCCTAATTGATACAAGTGTTGCGCTGCCAGTGTTGCTTATTACACATATTACTGGAATGAAAATTCGACAGTCATTTTCCGATGCAATGCTACTGTGCGAAAATTCATCATCATCATCATCATCATCATCATCATCATCAGCCTGACAACGTCCACTGCAAGACAAAGCCCTCTCCCATCTTCCACCAGTCAACCCGGTCCTGTGCTTGCTGCGGCCAATTTATACCCGCAAGCTTCTTAATCTCATCTGCCCACCTAACCTTCTGTCTCCCCCTAACCCGCTTGCCTTCTCCGGGAAACCAGTTAGTTAACCTTAACGACCAGCGATTATCCTGTCTACATGCTACATGCCCGGCTCATGTCCATTTCTTCTTGATTTCAGCTGTGATATCCTTAACCACCGTTTGTTCCCTATCTCACTCAGCTCTCTTCTTGTTTCTTAAGGTTACACCTACCATTTTTCTTTCCGTTGCTCGCTGCGTCGTCCTCAATTTAAGCTGAACCCTCTTTGTAAGTCTCCACGTTTCTGCTCCGTAGCTAAGTACCGGCAAGATACAGCTGTTATATACCTTCCTCTTAAGGGATAGTGACAATCTACCTGTCATGATTTGAGTGGGCTTGCAAAATGTGCTCTACCCCATTCTTATTCATCTAGTTACTTCAATCTCGTGGTTCGGCTACGCGGTTATTACCTGCCCTAAGTATACATTGTCTTTTACAGGGTGAAATGCACTATTACCTATCTCGAAGCGCTGCTCTTTTCTGAGGTTGTTGTACATTACTTTCGTTTTCTGGGGATTCATTTTAAGACCCACCTTTCTGCTCTCCTTGTCTAACTTCGTAATCATGCGTTGCAATTCGTCCCCTGAGTTACTCAGCAATGCAATGTCATCGGCGAAGCGCAGGTTACTAAGGTATTCTCCAATAACTCTTATCCCTAACTGTTCTCATTCTAGGCATCTGAAAGCCTCCTGTAAGCACGCGCTAAATAGCATCGGGGAGATTGTGTCCCCCTGCCTTACACCCTTCTTGATTGGTAATCTGTTGTTTTCTTTTTGAAGCACTATGGTAGCAGTTGAT